CCAGGGCTTCAGCCAAACTAGGCAAACAGGAGAAGGTGATGGACTCACGCATACCGGTCCTGAAGACCAGGGCTAATATTCCCAGCTCGTACAGATTACCCATGTCGCCACAGTCCTACAGTGAAGCTGTGCAAAGTCAGCCAAGTGGATGTGGCTCCACCCCTGTTAACACGACTAGGTTAACAGATCCGAGTGGGAAAATTGCACTAAGTGAGAACTTCATAACACCCATCCCCATGGTAGACCATGAAACAAATAGGAAGGCCAAAAAGAAACGTTCACGACGTCGCAAGACGACAAGAACGCTCCCCAAGAAGACAGACGACTGCAAGGTCTGTGCTTCTGTTGTCGAACAAGCAGACTCTGCCTTCGAATGTAACTTTTGCAACCGATGGGTGCATTGCAGATGCGACAGTGGGGTACCAAAAGCATATTATGACTTTATGCGTAAAAACCCATGCCAATGGTTCTGGTACATATGCCCGAGTTGCCGTCCTGATGTAGCCTCGCGTAGTCCTTTGAAAACTAAAGGTGGCACAGAAGTAGCGGGGAAAAAGGTGAAAAGCTCGACCCCCACCAATCCGGAAGTTAGTACAAACGCGCGTAAACCGGGGATACCAAAATCCTCACCGGTTAAACTTGTAACTCTTGCCATAACCGCTCCAGACACAGAGGCTGGAGAACCACGGGTTTCCGTCGTTGGAAAAAGACCCCAACCGTCTACCAGTAATGCTGGCTATAGCACTGAGACACATAAAAATACCCAGTCGCACCAGTCAAACCAAAACGGTCTTAAAGGTGATCACAAACGTGCGAGGACCGAGCCCAAGCCCACGGTTAGCAGATCAAATTGTGTAATCCTCTTTAATGTACCAGACTGTAGCAGTAGTCTGCTGAAAGATAGGGCCCTATTTGATCAGGAACAGTGGTCCATCTTAAGTAGCACACTGGGTTTGGACATCCAACCAGTAAATCTATGCAGATTGTATAGGGGCACTGCTGCACCTGAAGGCAAACCATCCCCACTGAGGGTAACATTGAGCTCTACCGAGGATGTTGAAAAAGTGTTACTGGCTTCTCAAGTCCTTTCTATAGGGAGGGCCTGTAACATACGTGTTAAGCCAGACAGGCCGTGGAAGGAAAGACAAATGGCGAGGGAGTCGCCAGAGCTCATTCCTTCTGCCTCCATGGTTGTGCATGGCATTCCCGAACTGGTAACTGGGAACGCCTGCGAAAAGCATTGTCATGATGTACAACAATGGAGATGGTTAGCATCCCAGATGGCCCTGGGAAGTTCAGGGGCTGTCTCTATTTATAGACTGCCTCGACCCACTCATCTTATGTCAATTAACTCGCCACGTCTGTTAGCTGTCAAGTTCAGCTCCCAAGACCAGTTGACTACCGCTCTCCATAGATGGTACGAGACCAAGGACAAGGTCAGCAAACACATTCGCTGCTGCGAGAGCCGGCCTCGCACTCAAAGGAGAGAACAAAGCGTAGTAAAAGAAAATCCTCAACCCCTAGTCACACTACAGCGGTGCAGCACGGACGATGATAGCCAGTGTCATCCGAGTGCTCCAACTGAACTAGAAGAAAAAAACGCCAACAGGCCGGTTCCTGGGGAATCGGCCAACTAGTTCGTAGGATAACTCCTCAACCGATAGCCAATATCAAGTCAACTACCCCCCAATACGGGGAAGTGGTGAGACTGACTACCAGTTGCCTGTATAGTAATGTGAGAGGGCTAAGAGGCAAAATAGCTGAACTTAGACACCTACAATCACAACTAAACTCCAAAATCATAATACTGACGGAAACCTGGCTAACCCCTACGGTGGCAGACAGCGAAGTCAGTATAAATGATATGGTCCTAGTCAGGCGAGATAGGGACCTGAAAGAAGGAGGTGGAGTCGCCATATACGTCGACAAACAGCTCAGATGTGTTCACGCGACGGACCCTCCCCTCACAGAGCTCCCTGACTCCATATGGTGCCACTTCACCGTTGGGTACTGCAAATATCTAGTGGGCAGCATTTATCGATCACCTTCATGTGGAGCAGACCATAACCAGGTACTGCTAAATACAATTTCAGCGACTCAAGACATGGGTTATGATCAAATTGTCATAGCTGGTGACTTCAATGCCCCATCTCTTAACTTGGTGTCGGGAAAAGCCCATGATAGATTTGATCGAAATCTGCTGCATACCATCAGGAAGGCTGGATTCACTGAAAATGTCAAGATGGATACTAGATGGGGCCCTGATGGGAAGTCTTCTAGACTGGATTACGTGCTCACTAGTGACCAGCTACTAGTGGAAAACGTTCAGATCACGACTCCCATAGGTAGTAGTGACCACGCGGTCATAGTATTCGACATAGTCCTCCGCGAGCGCTTACAGTGGGACAATACACAGCCCTATCTGTGTTATAACAAAGCCAACTTTACCAAAATGCGAAGACTTCTGTCTGAAGCAAACTGGCCTAAAAAATGGACAGAGCTAACAGTAGAAGAACACTGGAGAGTGGTAAAGGAGATCATTCACCAGGCGGTCTCAGACACTGTTCCTTTAGTCTCACCAAAAGCTAGGAAGCAACGATCATGGCTGAAAAGAGGGACACAACGCCTTCTGCAGGCAAAGCGTAAAGCCTGGTTCGCGTGGCGACGATCGAAGAGTCAACCCGAATATGAAGTGTACCTTGAACTCAGGAATCGATGTAACATACGAGTCCGGAGCGATAGAAGGACATTTCAGGGAGACCTCGCCAATAAGCTTCTCGTGAACCCCAAAAGCCTATACAGGTTTATGGCCGAAAGAAAACCGACCAACCAGGGAGCATGCAATCTAGTGGGTTCTGATGGGAAATCTCTTACTAGTCTTGAAATGGCAGAGACATTCAGCCTAGCCTTTCACAGGCAACTAAATAGTAACGAGGATATTACCCCTACAGAACATCCAGATTACATCGCAGAACCAACACACGAAAACCTGCTGGGGACATTTCAAATTACCCCGGCTATGGTACTTGCAAAATTGGGAAGGTTGGCTTCGGGAAAGTCTCCAGGTTGTGATGGCATCAGACCATCTGTCCTGAAGCAGTGTTCAGAAAGTCTCTGTCAACCCCTAAGTGATCTGTTCCAACACTCCCTTGATGTAGGGAAACTTCCATGTGAATGGAAACGTGCAATCCTATCCCCTATCTTCAAGGGTGGTGACCGGCAGAATGTGACCAGTTACAGACCAGTTGCTCTACTTCCAGTGGTATCGAAGATATTGGAAAGTCTCATTGACGACCACATGAGAAAATACTTCGATGGGACTAACCTTCTTCACGAAGCACAGCACGGTTTCAGGAGGGGAAGATCCTGCGTGACGAATCTTCTACTAGCCTGGAACGATTGGACACTATCCTGGGACAAAAAGGTACCAGCCCACGTGATCTTTCTCGACTTTGCGAAAGCATTCGACACAGTTCACCATGGTCTGCTCCTTCACAAAATAGGCAAGGCGGGAGTTTCTGGAGCACTTCTCGCATGGCTGACAGATTACTTAGGCGAGAGAGAATTCTGCACCAAAGTCAACCGCATCCGATCATCTTGGCACACCTCGGCATCAGGGGTTCCTCAGGGTTCTATCCTAGGGCCGTTGATGTTTTTGATTTTTATCAATGACCTGCCCCCCCAACTAAACTGCTCTGCGCTTCTTTACGCTGACGACGTAAAGATTTGGAGAGCAATAAACTCATCGGAAGACTCAGATAGATTGCAGGCTGACCTGCAAACTCTGGGAAATTGGGCTTTGGCTAACGGAATGCCTTTCAATCTAAAGAAGTGCAAAGTAGTGCAGCTTCATTCCGGCAGGTCACAGAGTGTAAATTACACCCTTGGTGGCCAGAACTTGAGTTGTGTTCCATCAGAGCGTGATCTAGGTCTTATTCTAACAGAAAAGCTAGACACCAGTGGAAATTACTCGAGGGACGTCGCCAAAGCCTACGCAACATTACACTTTATGCACAGGCAGCTGGGAGCTCTCACTCCCGAACTGTTCTTAAGGCTATACAAGGCATATGTGAGGCCACACCTTGAGGTGCATAATATCATTGCACCTCCGCTACTCAAAAGGGATGCTAACATTCTAGAAAGTGTCCAGAGACGAGCGACAAAATGGGTGATCGGCCTCCGCAACAAATCATATGAGGAAAGACTAAAGAAATTAGGTCTTTTCACACTCAGTTACCGTAGGCACAGGGGAGACCTCATCACCGTCTACAAGATCCTAAATGACCAGGCCCACCCAAATAAAAGCATCCTGCCATTAAGCGATTATAGGCTTCCACGAGGTAACCCGCTAAGGATAGCACACCAGAGACCAAAGACTCGAGTGCGATCACATTTCTTTTCGCTTCGTGTTTGCCGTCTCTGGAACGCTTTACCGGCGGCCGTGACTACAGCGCCATCTGTGGAGATTTTTAAGCGGAAGCTAGACAATCATGCAGAAATGCAAGGTTTGTGTCTCAATGGCTTATCCTCATAAAATTTGAAACCAAACTGTCAATGAATAAGCGTACTAACTAAATCCCCACGACCTATTCTGCCTTCTCTCACTCTATCTTTTCCTTAGGTCACCTTTATTATTCCACTTATCTCAACCTATATTATCTACACTACAACCTATTATTATTATTATTACTATTCTGCTTTTATGACTACACCGAATGACCAAGGGGAGTTAGGTCAAACTCCATTCACGGCAGCAATACAGTCCTAACATACTGCATACTACAAACCACATCTCGACCAATCCCCGCACCACTCCTCCTGGAGTCTACCAGAGCTAAAGCAGTCGAGTGTCGGGACTTACTACGCAGAAGCTCACCGAAGATCTGGAACCTCTACCTCACAATCAAGAAGCGAGCTCAAAGAAATCACTGGTTTATACTAGCTCGTCATCAGGATATTGGATATTGGATACTGTTTATTTGATATTCACTCAACTGTAACTAATAGTTACAGAAACGTACAATTTTCAAATTGTGGAGTGGTGTGTCCATCTTTTGTTGTCTTGTTTTGTTTCTTTTCGACTTTTTAGAGAAAATAAGTGTATTATTATATCAGGCAACAGTAGAGAATAGACACGAAGGCCAAATGACCCTGAATCTACCAACTATATTCTTGATGGAAAATGCATTTTCCATGCTTGTTATAATTCTGAATTAAATATCAGTTATTCTGAAATAATTCTAGCATCCTATAGTGATTAAATTCTGAATTTGTTCTGAAGTCGTTTGTTTAGTGGCACAGACTAGAACTCAGTGCTATAGCACTGCTATAGTTTTCAGCATAACTAGCGCTAATTCAGCACCGTGTTCTTCTTTTAAGCATTGTCAGGAGTAGATCATAACCTAACGGGTTTGCTTATCAGCTTTATTTCAGCCCTTTCAGAAAATTTTCAGCACTGACTAGCACTAATTCAGAACGAAAAGACTAAATTCAGTACATAGTGGCAGTTTTTTAAGCCTAATTCAAGCCTTCGCAGATCATTTTCAGCAATGACTAGCATTACTTTAGAACGAAAAGACTTCTACTTATTATCATCACCTATGTCATACTGCGGCGAAATTCATTTAGTTTGCAGAAGAAATCAGTTTTTATGATTGAGACTTTGTATTTATAAACTGTAGTATAATGTCACTGCAATCCCGTCAAGTGCGATCCACTGGCAGCATCCTGCAAATAAGCAAAATAAAATATTAGTGGGTGAAAAACTGTGCTCAGCACATTCTGAGCATTTACATTTATAAAAGTTTACTTACATAAGTGCCACTGTTATATCCCCCGGTATCTTTTTCATTTGCCTAAGAATGAAAAACAATGTTGTGATTACTACATGTAGAATAAACGTCCACTTATAAAAGTAAGCAGGCGTTTCGCAATAAGTGGACGTTTATTCTACATGTAGTAATCACAACATTGTTTTTCATTCTTAGGCAAATGAAAAAGATACCGGGGGATATAACAGTGGCACTTATGTAAGTAAACTTTTATAAATGTAAATGCTCAGAATGTGCTGAGCACAGTTTTTCACCCACTAATATTTTATTTTGCTTATTTGCAGGATGCTGCCAGTGGATCGCACTTGACGGGATTGCAGTGACATTATACTACAGTTTATAAATACAAAGTCTCAATCATAAAAACTGATTTCTTCTGCAAACTAAATGAATTTCGCCGCAGTATGACATAGGTGATGATAATAAGTAGAAGTCTTTTCGTTCTAAAGTAATGCTAGTCATTGCTGAAAATGATCTGCGAAGGCTTGAATTAGGCTGAAAAAATTGGCACTATATGCTGAATTTGGTGTTTTCGTTCTGAATTAGTGCTAGTCAGTGCTGAAAATTTTCTGAAAGGGCTGAAATAAAGCTGATAAGCAAACCCGGTAGGTTATGATCTACTCCTGACAATGCTTAAAAGAAGAACACGGTGCTGAATTAGCGCTAGTTATGCTGAAAACTAGCACTGCGTTCTAGTCTGTGCCACTAAACAATCAATTTCAGGATTTACTCACCATAGGATGCTAGAATTATTTCAGAATAACTGATATTTAATTCAGAATTATAATAAGCTTTGGCAGTGTGACATCAAGGAGGAGATGAAAGCTTGTATAAAATCGTGAAACCAGCCAAAGAGGGCTGCAGATAGATGCAGGATGGATGAAATGGAGATGTGCCCCAAGCTCACAGCAATTCTAAACTTATTCTAATCTATTCTTTGATAATGCTTTTTTATGGTAAATAGCTATGAAATGGCTAGCCATTTCATCTACCCACTATGTTCGGAAATAACGCTGGTCGTGCTTAAAAAAAGAGCTGGGTGCTTAATTAATGCAACAAAATCTTAAAAATAAGATCATCATCTGAAATAATGCCTTTAGTGCTGAAAATTAGCACTGCATGCTTAACTCCTGCGGTTAATACTGAAAAATAGTACTCCACCTGTACATAGTATATTGAAACCAACCAATCAGCAAAGAGTAGGTTTCACACAGATTACGTAGTGTAACGGCTACAGACTTGTCTGCGAATTACATATGATGTGATTGATCTATTTGACCAGAGGTGTGACAGTAAATAAGAATACAACGAAAACATAATTCAACAGGGGGATAGGGGAAGGTGAATTGGTTGCATGAATTCATACGAAAAATATATTATGAATAAATTAAATATTCCCATAATTTATTCAGAACAAAATATTTAGAGCGAACAATTGTTTTCAATAAATTCTTCTTCAGGCTCTACAATTATAAATCCATTAATTTAAGCATATAATAGCCAGCCAAGCCAGTACAGGCAAATTAGAATCATATCAGAAAGTGTATTGTGGAACAAGTATAAGATGGGATGAAACAATAGTCATATAGCTTTTTAATATGCATGGTCAATAACAACATGGGACAGAATGAGATGAAATAATTTAATTTAAAGATGTGTATATATATATATAAATAGTTAACAGAAAATACAGGTTTCAAGAGTGAGTGTAATCAGGGTGTGTGAGGCAATATGAAAATAAACCAACGAATGGGGCGGTCTAGACTTAAGTTCAAGGTTGAAAATAACAACAATAAGAATGATTGTAAAATAATAACGATGATATGATGGTGTAAAATTAAATGTACTATTGGTGAATGATTGTCAAATAATAATAATAATAATAATGAATAGAATGAAGTGGAATGAACAGGATTTTGTGAATACGATAGTAAGTTAGAAAAGCACTATTTAAACCTAAGGTAATAAAATCATAAGAAAAGTCATGAAATCATAAAAGTCGAAAATGAACGTTTGTCAATGAAACAGAGGAATAGAAGAAGGAAAAGAAAATCGCGAAAGAAATTTATAGTGTTAATGGAGGATTTGTTGGCTTTATTGTAGGCCAAGGTAAACGTAGAGGTTGTACATACTTCTTCTGTATGCAGAGGGATGGTCTTCTGGTATTAATTGCAACTGCTTCAGCTACTGATAGAAGACGTAGTCGAGCTCCTCTAGATAAATTACTAGGAACGCGGTAAATAACTGAGAACGCTTGGTCAAGTTTTATCGGGTGTCCAGTATCTACCAAGTGGGCTAAAACTATTGATTCATCCCATCTTATACTTGTTCCACAATACAATTTCTGATATGATTCTAATTCGCCCTTACTGGCTATTGTATGCTTACATTAACAGATTTATAATTGTAGAGCCTGAAGAAGAATTTATTGAAAACAATTGTTCGCTCTAAATATTTTGTTCTGAATATTATGAATAATATATTTTTCGTTTGTGGAATGTAAGCGAATTTGAGACGAGGTCAAAAATGAAAAAAATTTATAAACCAGACATGTCTGGTTTATAAATTTTTTTCATTTTACATTGTACATCATATGTCTGATGTCTGTTCTACGATTGTCAAAATTATTAATGTAAAAAATTTTTGGGCCATATTGAATTCTATCCTACCAAATATCACACCATGTTATGTAGCATTTTATATCCACCTACTAATCCTACAATTTTGCACCCCTTTCCAACATCTATACACCTCAGGTATTATTCTATGTCTGACACTGATTGTCTTGCTACTTTACATTTAACTGTGATTAGAATGACAGATATTTTATTTGCATTTCATACCACTATTATTATATAATAATAATATAATAATAATACATAACATATGTATTCACACCTTTGACCTAATTCCCTCACAGGTTTTATTTCTTAAAAAACCATATATATATGTATATATATTTGTAAACCTTGATAATAAATTCGTTGAAAATAGTCTCTCCGCGAAATATTGCAAATATGAAACACAAAAATTAACAACGAATTGAAGGTGTGGGGAGGGTGAAAACCCAAATCCCACAGATAAAAAAGGATACCTGTCATAAGTGAAATGTAAATTGTTTCGATTGCTGAATACTGTCTAGGAGTTCATATATTTAAAACTTGGGAATCCAAATGAAACAAGGGGTGACAGATTGTGTTGATTCACATATGAAAACATATACTTGCTGTAAGGAAAATGTTAACAATTGTGATTACAATTTAATTGGTGGACTGTGATTACAGTTCACATGTCATCCCTTTTCATATTTAACAGACTGATGTTTGCCTAGAAGTATATAAGCAGTACACCTCACATACAAAGACCATTCTTACAGGATTTATAAATCATGCAGGTGAGTTAGATTTTGGGTGCATATTTGTCCAATTCTCCTATAAGGAAAACAACTCCGATAATGTGTTAAATACGGGTATTCAACATTCTACAACAAGTCGTAAGAGAAGAATATCTTCTGGCAGACTGCATGAATGCCTTGGATACAGCTACTCAACATTTTATAGCCGTCAAAAACGGTTACGTGATGCAGTATTTAGTGACTGGGACTTGTGGAAACGTTACTGCTCATCCAGAGAAGAGGTGGCTAAGGATAATACAGTAACTTTGCCTTCAAGTTCAACTGTCCAGGGAACAGTGGGTTTACCTAGTACTAGTGAGACCGTCGCTGTAGTTTCACAAGTTGAAGAGAATCGCAACATTTATTATTATGTAATAATTAATTTCAATAGAACTTCAGATTGTTCCTAAAAAGATGACACAAAAAGAGCTGGTCAGAAAGTCAATTATGGAATTGTTCCTTCAGAACAATGAAACAGGGACACTTGCGCAAAATATCTTCGACTGTATGCGTAAATTTAATCCACATGTGCCAACAACCATAAGAGGCTTGCTAAAAGATAGCGGCATGTGTGTACCTAGATTTCTTGGACAAGGTGTTTACTATCACATTGGACTGAAGGAAAATCTGCAGCGTTATCTAGATAGTTGGGTTGACTACGGTACTTTTCAACATATTGGCTTGCAAATCAACTATGACGGTTTATCTATATCGAACAGTTCTTCGCAGCAATTATGGCCATTCCTAGGTCGTATCACAACTCCATACGTCAGTGACGTTTTCTTAATTGGCATACATGGCGGTTTGAGAAAACCG